ATTAAACGATTATTGTCTCAAAAGTTTTAAAAGACCCCAAAGGCAAAAAGTGATACCTTTAAACATCTTGCAAGATCCAATCATTAATGATCAACCCATTCGCTGGAGCTAGAACTTATAATATATTATTCATGGTATTTTTAGGGCTATTAATTCATCACTGGCTTTGTCATTTCTGCTCCGATGTTGTAACATTTGTCAGGGAGGTTAAGTTTTCTTTTCTCTTGGTGAAAAGCTGGTTATTTGCCATCTAATTTGAGGACGTGCTTCTGGTTTTTATTTGTGGGTTGGTTTTTTTTGTTCTTTTTGCTACGACTGGAGTCTGAGTCACCTAGGATGCTGTGGCTGTCGCTCTTTATAAGTTTGTGCCGGCTCTCCTGAGACAAAACCCTCATTATCCCCACTCCTCTTCTCTCTGGGTTATCATTGGCTTCCAGAGCACACGTCCATTGACGCCGTTAAGCAGCAATCTCACTGTTCACAAACAGATATTTGTTGCTGCGGAGACAGCTGCCAGTGAGGCCACCGCCTGTAGCGGTGTGTGTGGAAGTTTTATCAAACGTGGCCAGTACATGTGAACTGTAGGATGGTGATGAATGTGAATGACATGAGACTTGGCTCTGTTTCATACACTGTAAAAACCTGAATGATCTTTACTGCTGCTCACTCTGGTTTCCATGGAAAAGGCTCAGAAATGCTTGGCTCCAGAGGATGTTTCTGTGGCCTGGGAGTGATATGAGAGTAGGTGTTTCCCTTTGTGTGTCGGGGTCAGGGGTCCTCTGAGTGTGATCTTAGTGGAATTGTTGAACTCAGCCATCCTTGGACTGCTGTCACCAACCCTAAGGAGTACATGTGTAATCTAATCTCACCCTTAATATACACATTTAGTGCCAGGAGAGGATGTAAAGCACAAAAAGATTTGTGTAATGAACAGAGCTGCTGTTCTTTTCCTGAACTTCGTCAGGTGGGAAAGTTGATTGAACTCCTGGCTGGGAAGGCGGGGGTCCTGGATGGGCGCTTCCACTATGGCACAGCCTTCGGAGGCAGCAAGGTGAAGGATGTGTGTGAGGATCTCATCCGTTATGGATACAACTACCAGGGCAAAGACTACGTCACTTCAGGCATCACTGGGTAATTAATAGAGGATGTTTTAGGTTAATAACCACACACAACACAATGCTGCTACACAAGTGTTTGCATTGCTACTCATGACTGTTTATAAGTCTTATTTCTCTTAATGCTGTGAAAACACCATTTCTCAGAGTGATGTTAACATTTTATCACCACAATATTAGTTCTTAAACAGTAGCTTGAATGTTTTCATTATGCCGAAATTGCATATTGTCATAGTGGCCCCGTTAGTGCCTGTCCATCTGGCACCTGCTGTATACAAACAGTAAATTTAATTTCTGTGTAAAATCTACCGCCTGAAGGCAAAGATCACGTGTACAAATCTTTCATCATTAATATTTCTTTATTCAAATTTATGGACCAGCAGTCCAAAAAGAAGGCAGATTTTTGTTGGAATCATCTTATGCTTTGTTTATCTGTTTAGCTGTTTTTGTGCACACAATTCCTGACCCCTGCTTTTCCCTCAGAGAACCTCTGGAGGCTTACATCTACTTTGGACCTGTGTATTACCAGAAACTGAAGCACATGGTTCTTGACAAGATGCACGCCAGAGCCCGAGGCCCCAGAGCCGTTCTCACCAGGTAGTTTCTCATCTGTGGTGATGTTGAGATTCGATTAGTGCCTATAAGTGTTGAATTAAATTCTCCGTATCCACCTGTCCTGATAACAGGCAGCCCACGGAGGGTCGCTCCAGAGATGGAGGTCTGCGTTTGGGTGAGATGGAACGCGACTGTCTGATCGGCTACGGAGCGAGCATGTTGCTCCTGGAGCGCCTCATGATTTCCAGCGACGCTTTCGAGGTGGACGTGTGTGGGCAGTGCGGGCTGTTGGGATACTCTGGGTGGTAAGCTGTTTCTGCTGGTGAAACGTGTTAGGGGGCATCACAAGATCTGGTGCACATTGATATGAACTGAAAGAAGGGGAAATATTTTAGTTTACACAGTGAATAAAAAAGCTTGGTAGCTGTGTAATCCGGGTGGTCCATAAACGTCTGTTCTGTTTCCGTGTTTCAGGTGTCATTACTGTAAGTCGTCCTGCCACGTTTCCTCCCTGCGTATCCCCTACGCCTGCAAACTGCTCTTCCAGGAGCTGCAGTCCATGAATATCATCCCTCGACTCAAGCTGTCGCGCTACAACGAGTGAGCAGGACAGAGACGGGATGTGTGAGTCACAGGTTTAGAGCAAGAGCTATAAGTTGATTTGTGAATGTTTGATCGAGCGACAAACAAGGAGTAAGAAGCTGAAACAGGACTATTTTTGTTGTTGTTTAAAATCTGAAAACTTTTTTTCCTGTTTCTTTTTTTTTATGTTTATTCTTTCTCTGTTGGTGTACATAATAAATAAGTTGATGGTTTTTCTTAAACTTTGACTTCTTTCATTACAAATATCAAAAAGTTGCCCTTTGAGGGCAAAATCTCCAGGATGTCACCAACTTTAAATTGTTTGTCCTGAAACATGTTTTTACCACAAGATCTTTTGAACATCCAGCTGACCTGGATCATATTTCTCCACTTTCTTTTTTTTCAGTCTGCTTTTCTCCTCTTTAATAAATGTTAAGTAGGATTTTGAAGCTGGGGAACTTTGAGATCGGCTGTAGCAGTGCAGTGTGAAGAAAACTACCCTAGAGTCAAAGAGGTCCCATAATAACTTCTTTTCAGTAGATTCACTCTTCACTGCTGATTTAATCACTTAAATTCAAAAAGATAAAAGCAGGTGTGTGCAGCTACATGCCATATATCCAACCCAAAGACACTATAAAGCTAAATGGTAGAATTAAGTGAGTGAATCTAATCAGTATCGTCACCATAAATATAAACTGATCTTTGTTACCCACGATCAGTGTCCTGTATGGCTGTAAACTTTGTCATTTACTGCAAATTAACCAGTGTAACCTGCCCCAGTGTTTTCATGCAGCTTTTGAATAGCATGAAATTAGCACACGCATTTGTTTTTCAAGGTCTTTCTCAAAGATGTCATTCAGAAGCACATCATGTATAGATCCACTATGTGATAAATATATGAAATAATAGGACAATACATTTGAGATTTAGTTTTCTAGTGTATAAAATATCAGCAGTCGTCCCGTTTTTGCTAACTTCTTTCTCGAGTCTTTCTCTACATTTCTTGACACCAGTTTAGTTTAGAAACAGTTTCTGTGTTTTCTGATATTTGCTGAGGCGTTTGAAAAGTATTTGACCCGACACGTAAAAAAGCATTACTTCTCTAATGCTGAATTACTGTGACTGCAACTTTACACCTGCACCGTGAACACATGATCGGGATGAGAAGATAAAAGGGGACGTGTTGAAGGTGTAAGGGGGCCATGGGATGTCATTGTTTTTTATTACCTGAATTAACAAATTCTGTTGTATTATGCTTTAACCTGCCTTAACTTTAAAAATAATTAACTAGGAATTAACTAAAGCTTGATGTGAAAACATTTTAGTTACCTAAAATAAAAAAATAGTTATTTGTTTTTCAAAACTTAAATGAAACAATGTTGTGAAATTGGGAGATTAACTGAAAAAAAACCCCAAAACAACAAATTTAGATGACAATTTTGTATTTGTTAGTTTTGTGAGATTTATTCTCCCAGCTTGTCTGATGAGGCTTTGATGGATGTATTTATTGAGGCTTCAGATGTCTGCAACACTGTGAGACTTTTTTTCCGTAAATCTTACCTCTGGTATATGTCATAAATATGATACTTAGGACAAAAACTACCCTGAAAATGATTTTTAATAACTGCTTATTTTTAGTTGTAAACAATAAAATCTGAACTGAAACGAGCAAACCCACTCAGGAAACGAAATCAAACTAAACTGGATTAAAAACGGAAAAACACAATTAAAAACTCCTTAGAAAATTCAAAGTACTAATAATAATGTTATTATACAGTTGCTCTGTGGGAATCGTACTGAGTCTGAGAATTACCTGCCCAGGTGGAGGCTACGCAAACTCAAAACACATTAAAAATGCAACAACAAAAAATATGTCATATACAACGTCAGTAACATGTTATGCTATACACAAACACCCTTACCCAGTGTTGCTTTAAAGATAAAGAAAAGGCTGTTTTTCTGCAAGTGGTGACCACCGTCCTGTCAAATCATAAAGAATCTGTAATAAAACAGAGAGATGCCTGATATAAAAGTGAATGCACTGCATCACTGTAAATAATGTTTTTGTTATGAATTTAACCCAAGAAGTAATGGAAACAAAATAGTGTGCATTTAATACTTTGTGCATTCTGATGTCATCTCGTAAAGTTGTTGTTGTTTTATTTTTTACAAAATATAAAGTGAAATCCACGGCTCGTGACGAGTCACTGCATTAACTCTTTTCTCCTTGAAAGCCTGCTAGGTGTCAAACCACCTGTTTACAGATTTATACTGAGGTGTGAAAACAGGGGACGTGGTCAAGTCTTTTTTTTATTAGGGAAGGAGTTAAAGTACAATTTTAAGACATGTATTAACCTTTTAGTATTTACAGGCGTGAATAGTGATTACTCACAAAGCATCAGCTGATGTTTGTGTTAGTTAAACGTGTAAATGAGAATCAGAGCACAGTTTTATAGTTATCAATGCAGAAATCCTGATGACTTAAAGCCTTTTCGTAGAAAGAGCAAATAGTTTGTGCTCTGATATCAGTGCATCTTTATGCAGCTGATACACACACAGAAAATAAGCATTCAAATGTTCTAGAATTCATCTCATGGAACAATAAGTATCTTTTTATTATTATATATAATCAGCAGTGTACAGTTAATTTTTTAATATTTTTAACTGATTTTTGGAAGATTGTAATTTTGTTTGATCACAATCAAAAACACGAGTGACTGAAGACTCTCGGTAGAGACAGCAGGATGTCTCCTGTTTGAATTCAATACGAGTGGACAGCTGGATGCTCGATGCAGCAGCTTTGTTGACGTTACCAGGGAGAGAGCAGCTTTAAGTCATATGATTTCCTCTTTAAAGTGAAGCCCTAATGCCACCAACTTGTCGTATGTGGCGTAACCACATACCCCCTACTCCCACGTGCACACACAACTCTATTGGGGCCTTTTCACTGAACAAAGCAGAGCACATCCGTTTGTGCGGGCAGAGTGTGTGAGAATGGGATGGGTGGAAAAGGGCTCTTTTTAGTGGCTGCACCTGTCCTATTTTACGAGGCACTAATAAGCAGATAACAGTCACTAGGCTGGGAAAAAAATGAGTGAGAGCCATTGAAATTAGGCTGAAATTAATTAGGTCCTCCTCTGAAGTCCTGACTTTGCGTGGCCAGCATCTAGAGCTTTGAGAGTTGAGTCAAAAATGAAGATTTCCCTGACCTTTCACCCAATCCAGCAGTTCTTTCCTTCCTGTTTGAGCCCGATTTGATGCTTACCCCTGTCCTAACTAAGCGTGGCCCTGTGTCCGTCACCCTGTCCTGTGCGTCGGTGAGTGTCAGCAGTGGTGTCCACGCCTGCGCACTGCGAGTGAAAGTCCTTCTTTGCGCTCCATGGTGTGGTGAGTAATTCAGCCATAATCCGCCTTTCTCCTCTCCCCTCTTCTTTCCCCTCTCCTCTCCCCCTCTCCTGCGGTTCCATTCATATTCTAATCACAGCTTTCCCTTCTCCAGCTCTCAGGCACTCCATCAGAGCCCTCCCAGCCTCGGGTTTTGCACTTTTACTTCCCCCCCTTTGTGACCGTTCCCTCTTCTCAGAGGCATACCAAAAATAAGGTTGCAAAAAAAAAAAAGAGGTGAGAACTCCACCAAAACATTCACACTGGTGCGGTTTCATCATGTATGGATGTGTGTTGCGCCGCAGCTCTGGAAAAGTTACCACAATAGTGCTTTGGGGGGTTTGAATGAGGAGTGAGGAGCAGCACAAATGCAGGCAACAAGTGTGTGAGGGATGTGAAGTGGGAGTTAAAACCAGAAGGAAAGGCAAGAGTGGTGGTTGTGTAGAGATGTATGTTTATTCGGAGCTCGGGGGTGTATAAAAACGTATTAAATGCCATAATGGAAGACGGGGAGGCCACAGTGTTAGGACTGCGTAGATCTAAGCCTCTTTTTTTTTTTTTTTCGTTGGGAGGGAGCTTTTCTTATTCAAAACAGCCCCACAAAAGACTTCCAGTGAGCCTTGCCACATCCCCATCTGACTTGGGGCCATTCATCAGCCTTCCAAGCCTATCAATGACATGTCCCCATCAGGGCTCCTATAAAATCAGCCCCTTTCCCATGAAACATCAGCAAACATTTTGACGGGTCTGGCTTTCCCCCCGCTGGATTTCTGGAGTCTCTACCCCCCCGCCCCACACCCTCACCCCCTTCCTTTCCACCCTTATTCCCACCTCCCCTCCTCTCCTCCGCCAACACCACCCCTCTCTTGGGCGAACCTCAGATCCTCAACATCTCCTGTGACGGGCAGCGGTCACGGAAACACAGAGCTAGGCGAGGGGAGAGCCACTGAGGAGGGGGAAACGTGCGCTAAGCCATTTTCTTGGAGGAGTCAGTGTCGTTGATGGGAAGAGGATGCATTGCGGGCTGCTGGAGGAGCCTGACATGGATTCCACAGGTCAGTCCTGTTAAACTCTGCCTGCCTTGGATATGTTGAGGAAAACCAGCTTCTATTCACATTGTATGAGTTTTCTGCTGCGCTTATGCAAGTCTGGAACTTTCTCTGCAGGCATTCGGGTGAACTGTCCGGATGCTCATTAGCTTTTTAAATTTCCGAAGTTACTTACGAGGGAGTGTTTTTGGTCACACTCGCTTACGGGAAGATGCAGGAGACACTTGATTAGAGAAAAGCAGGAAATGGACCTTCAGTCTCCACGATTGGTTTCTTGCTGTTATTTTTTAAAGTCAAGCTAGAGAACTTGTAATTATGAGAGCAGCATTTAAAAACACAAGTGTCCATCACAGTGCACCTGCTTTTTAAAAAGGTTATTTACTAGGTACAAAACTGCCGAATTTATTTTCTTATGGTAAGAAACTTGAGTTTCTTATGGTAAAACTGAGTCCTCTCTGCAACGTTAATGACAAATCTAATTATACACACTTTCAGGCAATTTGGGTTTTTTTTTTATGCGAGTCCTTAATTGTCATTTAGCATAGTTTTCAGGATGATGCAGTTTAGTCCCAAATGTGTGCTCATAAATGAGTGAACATCCATTTTCACTTGTTGATCAAATTTAATCCAATTATTTAGATCCCCAACTTATCTGTTCTTGTGGCAAATGAAGCTTGAGATCCGAGCCTCTGTGGAGAATTATCTCCACTTCAGAAGATTCTCTTTTTCATTTCCAGGGTTTTTTTTAAGCTAGAGAAAGAAGCCAGTGCAGACGGGAACTGATGAGACACGATGAGGACCTGGAAATGATGTAATTTCTGTGTGATGCTATTTACCATCTGTCAGTGCTACAGTGTTATAACACTGTTAAAGAGTAACCTATAAATATTTACGTACCAAAAATCCTTTCTCCTCTGGAGTTTTTAGGGGTTTTTCTAGGCAGGATTTTAAGAGCAGTCACTCTTTTTTCTTTTTTCTTTTTTTTTTCTAGACAGGACGTGCTGAAGATTGAAGTATCCACTCTTCATCGAATCTTAACTTTTAAAAGTTTTTATTATCTTCCTCGATGCCATGCCTGGACAGCGCCAGCAGCTGGTGCTGTGAATGTTGTCACTTGCAAATGAAAAAAGGTTCAATAACTTTAATGTGGAGGGATTTCCATTTGTTGCAGAGCCTAAAAGTTTGGTTTAGTTTTGCATAAATAAGTCGGTGACTTTTTCCTGATCACATCTGAGTTTTTATGCTTATAATTCAGATTCTCTGTTTACGACATGCAGTTTAGCTCTAAACTTCCTGGTAGAGAAAAAGCTGCAGCTTAAAATCGAAGCAATTTTTACACCGAATTAAAGTAAAA